GTTACTGTACATTGTATAGTATACTAATTTGGGACTAAAATCATTATGGGGACTGAAAATCATTAAATAAGTACATTTTTAGAATTGTACTGTCTGACGGTCTGTCTGTTTGTTTATGAACGCATGACGTTTTGGGTAAACATATTATTTTCAATGAAATCATTAACAAAATCATAAAGTGTATCATCAAGTTCATTTAATCTTTGTTTTATTAAAATTGGTTAATTCTATCGAAAGTTATGATTATTATTTTGAAATGTAGGTTCGAATTTGTTTAATGGCGCCATAAAATCTCAGAAATCGTAATAAAAAGATTCGTGTGTAAAAAAACGTTCTATTATAATATATTTATACTAAAACACAGTAAAAAGAAATATGTTTTCTTTAAATTAAAAAAAGGATGTTTTCTCACAAAGAACGTAATAGATGGCGTTTTACAAATTGCAACCTTTTCTAAATTGCGGTGTTAAGATTTTTCGGCGGTGAACCGTATTGAGCCTCACTGAAGAAATTTATGTCCATGAGTCCGATAAAGCTGTAAGAGCCGTGTAGGCTAACATCAAAAACATCAACAGAAACAAAAATCAGAAAGAAAAAATACTACGTAATTATGCAACAAAACCCGACTAAAAGTAGCAAAATTGCAATAAAATGTGGTGATATTGTTTTATACCCAGAATCCCTCTAATACCAAATAACTTTCCTTTCAGTTTTAAGATAGGGATGATCGATGTTGCAGATGCAGAAACATCGATGATGACATCGATGTTGCAGAAACATCGATGTTGGCATCAATAGCTCAACATCGATGTTCGATGTTTAGCCTACTCAAAACATCGATGTTGACCATTATCGATGGTTTTTGTATATGTGTAGATACTTACACATTGTTTCAAAATTGTGTGGGTATACACAGCAAGAGAAAAGTAACAATTATCTTGAATATCGATTTAAGTAGAATAGTTATTATGCAACAACCGACAACGACACTACAAAATAAAGCGAAAGCAGTGACCATTGTGACATTACAGGTGACACTTGACGATTAAGTTTGACACACCATAAATGACATTTTTTTAGGTTAACGATGCGTTCAGGAATTCTGAATTATTCATCATTTTAAATCTTAAGAGCAGATGCAAGATTTATTTGATATTGATTTCGCGGGTTCGCATTGTTTGCAAGTTCCCAATTATCGATTATGGGTTCATTGACATCATTGTTTCCATGTTTGACATGTGTCATGTTTAATTTTTAGCATCGATGATCATCGAATAGCTGAGTGGGAAAGACGCTTAAAATAGGGATGTATTTTGAGTGTTTCCCACTCAGCGTGTGTTATGCGATGATCGTAAATAAAGCGCAAGGACAAACTTTACGCGTTGCAGGAGTGGACCTCAGTACTGATTGTTTTGTACATGGCCAACTATATATTGCTTTTTCCCGCGTTAGTAGTCCCCGTAACCTTTTTCTGTACGTCCCGGCTAAGTCTACTTCTAACGTTGCTTACGCAGAAGCTCTATTATAAACGACTTAGACCTTTGAGCATATGGATTTATTTTGTTACCACTTATTGATACAGTAATGATATAAATCGTTTAATATTCTCTTACCCTAAACGTCAAATTCTTTAAGTAAAACCTATATACGCGAGCTACGCCGCGGGCACAGCTAGTTTTTAAATAAAAGAGCTTATTACAAAGAATCTTCTTTATTTTTTAAACAGAACCAACGACTCCACAAGACGCTGTATTCTGAAGAACCATTGCAATTTACAACTTATAAAATATATCAAATTGATCATACTTACAGCTATTTCATAAATAATTTAGCGTACAATTTACACAGCACTGTGTTAATTAGTAAGAGATATAAGACTAACATAATAATAGCCTTCACTGTTAATAGTGTTATAGCTCTCATATTTATAAACAAATGTGAAGACCATTACTAGAGAGAAAACATTGTCTACAAATGACCAACGTAGCAAAGAAAAGATTTCATTATTTTGTCATAATATATACCAGAAAGGCTAACAAAATCCTTTTAATATGTATCTATGGAATGACTTTCTTTAAAGAAATTAGTTTGAAAAATATTTTATATACGAACATTTTTTTATCACTGGTATTGTTTTTTAATGAAGTATTGCTGTATCAGTCCCTATTGATTAGACATTGTTGTTTTGCATAATGAAATCGAACTTCTTTCAATAACTATCTATAGGAACCGATAATAAAAAAATCTACAGTCTATTGATGCTTGTTGCTTAGAGATAAAAATAATTTACACAATGCAAATATTTTGACTGCTTTCGCCAATAAATAATTTGTGCGCTTTGATACACTGCTACTATATACATAGTAGTATAATTGATAGAATTCAAAAGGAAAGGTTTTGATTTGTCAATGTAATAACTTTTAACAAAAAGTAAAAACGAACTTCAAATTGCTAAAAAATAAGTTATTTATTCGCTACCCTTAGGGGTGTAATTTTTTCTCTAAATTTATATGGGACCACCCTTGTAGTATAATCTAATTAATAAAAAAAAGAATCATTAAAATTGGTTCACAATCTGCATGATATTGCATAAGATACATACAAAAAGACATACACTCGAATTGAGAACTTTTTGAAAGTAAGTAAGTTGTAAATTTCCTATTTGGAAGTTGATTAACTACTTTGAAACAGCTTGAAGAGCTTTGTATTGAATCTTCCATTTTTATTTTGGCCATGGCAAAAGAAAATATAATTTTATTAAAGATATGTAAGCTTACTCAGAAGCCACAAATTACAAATTCTTACCAATAATATCTTACATTTTGGTCAATATCATACTAATTTTCCTATTAAAGTTAAAAAGATACAATTTTCCATATTAAATGTGACCATTATTCATGTGATTAAGTGTCTTTCACTGTGATGATAATAATAAAGCTTTGATCGCTGTTCAAGCAATACTTTTTATAGGTATTAATAAATTATAATACCACTTATTCAGTGATAAATATTAAAGTACTTTATTGCTATAACAACCCTGCATGCACATGCAGATTATAAATTAACACATTACAACTGCAAATATGCAAAGTAATAAAAACATCAAACCACACCTTAGGATTCAACTAAACTTTTACATTCACAACATTTCAATAGGTTTCCGATCTAAGAAATAATTAAAAAATAAAATTCTCAGTCTTCTATTATGTAGTTGTCATAGATCATTATAAGTTAGATCTTCACATTTACAACTTTTATGATACAATTTGTACAATTTATGAAAAAATTGACATACCTACATCTTAATCATTATAACAGTTCATTTTTAAATAAATGTACATAATTTCAGCATAGTATGTCTGTAAAGACTCCATTGTCACTCACTATTAAGTTTTAAGCATGTTTTCCAAAAACAATATAAGAGTCCTGTAGGCACTTTCACATTTTTATCTTTAATAAAACACTAAATGTTTAATTTTTTTTATATTGTTTTATTTTGTATTGTTTTTTATTTATATTGTTTCTAATATATTGCACTGATGGAGAATTTTTGCCTAAATCTTTAATTTACTAGTAATTTACATCTCACCAAGCACAGACAAACCACAGTTTTTACTTTAATAAAAACTTGCAGTTAAGATTTGTAACTGTACACTCATTGACCTTGATTTGTAGTAGTTAGTATGTCAAGGTTCTTATCCAACTTGTTTTGTATGTTTGCTGTTTCCCTTCTATATTAGATGACCTTATCTCAACAATAGACATTTCAAGGACAATTTTTCGTTAACAGCTTCTTCCAATTGTTCTGAATTATTACAACATTTTCTTTGATTAATGATGTTCGGGCTCATACCAATAAATAGTTACACGGTAGTTATTCAGTTTGCACAGGCTTGACCAGTGTTTTTCTTGTCTGGTGTTTTATTAGCTTCAGTTGTTGGAAGCTAGTGTATCTCTTTGTAACTCAGAATTCACCGAGATATTTAATTTTTCTTGTGCTAATTTAGTAGAAATCCAGTTGTCTAATCTATCTGTTGCCAGGAGTTAAGTATGACCACTAAATGTGGCACAATTGCTTAGTAGCTTCATTAAGGGTTAGCTTTGACTCATTTACCATGTATTGGCTAATTTACCACATACCACGATGAGGGCGGTTGTGCGCTAAATGCATGTGCCCCATATTTAGTTAACTCATTGACAAAATATATTTCCTCAACTGCACAAGCTATAGCATATAGATAGTATATGTTTCCTTGAAAGCTAAATGTGTACTCTATTGGAAATGGGTTCCGTGCACTCATTAAATCATGTTGATCATGTAAGTTTCCTTGAAAGCAGCTTACATAATATATTCCATCAAGGCAGCGTCCAGGTCAGTTAGTTCAGGCTCACCAATAGAGCATTTTGGTGTGGGAGTGAGTTAGGTGGTTTCACTCAAGCATGTTGATAATGTACATTTTCTTGATAGCAGTCTATTTGTGTTCTGTTGCAATAGTGCCTGGGACAGCTGAGTTTAGAATAAATTTTAGTATGGGAGTGAGTTGGAATGGTTTAATAGATGCTCAAGTACAATTACTATATCCATTGTCTTGAATGTGGTTCATTTGTATTATGGAAATGTCTAAGACAGATCACTTGGCTTGAGCTTACCAATCACAGGTTTTGATATAGGTTTGTATTGGGTGGTATCATTCAAGCATATTAACAATCAATTTCTTGAAAGTGTCTTCAGGGTATTTAAACTAGGACTCACGGACCACACATTTTGTTTTGGGGGTGGGTTGAATTTCACTCAGAAGCATTGTTCCCGGGGTCGTCACTAGGTGGTCACTTGACGGTTAATTGACCACCAGACGATCGATTGGTGGTTTTTTGATGGTCACTAGAATGTCACTTGATGATCACTAGACATCACTAAACGGTTTATTGATCACCAGATGATCGATTGGTGGTGTCTTGATGGCCAGTAGAATGTTAGTTGATGATGAGTAGAGGTGCGCTCAGTTGGCGCGCGCGCGCTTGGCGTGCGGCGGCTGCGCAGCGTGCGCGGGGCGCGGCGCGTGCTGGTGCTGGTGCGCCTGGTGCGCTTGGTGCGGCGCGTGCCCGTGCGCGTGCTCGTCCTCGGCCAGCCCCGAGCGCAGCATGTACTTGAACTGCGGCATGCGCTGCATCACGTCGCGGATCTGCACCAGCGCGAGCCCGTTCTCGCCCGCCGCCGCAGACTTGCACTTGCCCGAGTTGCGCAGCACTTGCAGCTGCGTCCTGCCCACACAAACACTATTTTACAACACTCTTACACGAAAAATGACTGATATGTACAACAATGTTTTTATTTAATAAGACATATTAAATGAACTTAATTTTACAGATATTATCAGATTTAATTTTAATTTTTGTAATTCCTGACTTATATACTTATGTTCATGGATGCTGTAAAGCACCCATCCCCCTATGACTTATTTTGTACACTAGATGTATTCCCCAAACTGCCCCAGGAGTAGCGTGAAAGATGCGAGTTATCTAAATCTGAGATCGCCAAGCGTGACGCATAAAGCTAAACTTCACTACAGTGGGAAGTGTGTGTTCAGCAGTTTATGAGCTCATGAAAAAAAATTTGGTTTCTGTATTCTTTAATACCTAGCATTGCCTAGGTATTAAAAATAGATAGGGGATTTAGATAAGGGACAACTTTGAACATAGAAAGATATAAAGGGTAAGGGATGGCAAAAAGAGCATTCCAAGATATTTTTTGAAAGTTTCAGAAATTTCTAAAATATTTTTAACTTTCTAGGAAAAGTATGACATTCTTAATTACTGTAATATGGTGTTCACCACCAAACCTGGGCCACACCACAGGCTGGCTATCTATTAAGTTAAGGACAAGAATTTTCAAAAACCTCAATAATCGCATAACAGTAAAACTTAAGTAAATCCTACAGGTTTTCCCTAAGTAGCCTCTTACAATCTCCATAAGATGAAATGAAGTAATAGTCTCTTGAGCACACAATACAGTATAAAAATCTTACTATTCTTTAATTAAAAATAACTAACGAGTTAGGTCTATAGAGTGTGAGGCCGAGAGCATCTAGCATAGCCCGGCAGGTAGCCAGGGATACACGCGGGAAGAAGTGGCTCGCTAGATCGGGCAGCGTCATCAGCAGCTCTGTGTACTGATATGGCTTCGCATTGATACATGGCACCATTGTATTCTCCACCAGTGCTTTTTGAACCTGAAACAATGCCAAATAACTATTAGAAAGACAAATTTCTGCATAACGAGGATAAAGCCTGCTATATAATTGTATGACTTTTCCTTATAGTCCAAGGAAAACCTTTCCTTGCAATATTTTATGCACTCCTCTAAATTTTATAGTAAATCTTTTCTTTTTTTGGAGTAAAACTTTAGAAACCTTTGTCAATTAAATATGCTCATTTGTTAAAGAAACAGGCAAGGAACATTAATAGACCCTCTAGCTCTAGCCCCTTTCTTTTCCTCCTTTCATTTATGGTCACTGATCTATTGCCTAAATCTAGTTTTAGTTAATATTTATTATTATAGTACATCCCTACCCATTAAGGTTTCTCTCCTGTTTCTCCTCTCTCAATAATTGTAAAAAATCTTTTTGTTTTCCCTCAATATTTATATATTTTGAATAAAGTATATTGTATTTTACATCACGCTTGTAGCCTGCTGGTATGAGATGCTCACCTCAAGTGTTATCTGATTTTTATTATAAATCATGCTTTAGTTACCAATGGATCTATTGTTCCTTTTACTACCAAGCAGTTAAAATTGGTTCAAATAGATTTTATTTATTAACAAATTTTCTGTAGCTTATATTTGCATTCTGCAAGTAAATTACTTCAATGAGTTTTAGATGATTCTTCAATACAGGAATATAAGAACATAAGACAAGTTTTGTAATAAATATTTAGTTTATTATATAACTATTTAAAAAAATCTTACCTTATACGGCGTATGGCTGCCAGTTATATTGATGTCGGGTATGGGTGTAAGCCTTTTGCGCGTGTCCACGGAGTGAGAGGTTGAGTGGCCATTCATTGTCCCAGTAACTTGTGGTGGAACACTGCAAGGTAAAATAATATACTTTATTATTGCAAGGATATGTTTTAAGTTGCACTATTTCATGGCATTAAATTAGGACAGTTAAGATAATATGATATATATATAAATACTACCAATAAATTTTTAAAATATTTTATTTTATATCATGAGCAAATTATTATATCTTCATTTTCTAAACTTAATAATCATTGCAATAAGAAGCTATTGTATGGGAATGAAATTAAATATAGATGTCGAAACCACCAAAATATTCAAACTGGTTTAAATTTAAACAGTGACAAGACAATGGCGAGTGGAATTTTCCATACAAACAAGCACAAATATTTAGGAACAGCCTTTGTATTTAAAAAAAAATTAGTATTCCATATTATATTGACAAAGTAGTAAAATATACAAAAGATGTTTATTTTATTTATAATACTATAAAATCCATTATGTATGTATTAATTGTATTGTTTGATAGCATTAAATTAATTCTAGTCGAATTGTGGGTAAATCCAAAAGGAAGGATCCAAACTCAGTAAATATTCATTCATTACAGGCATACTAGTTGACTCATGGAGGAGATATTTGAAATAGTAGCCGTGTAGAGGCAGCGTAAGATAATTCAATGTTCCATATATCATACTGTGGGTGTCAAGAGGTGACAGAGGGAAATGAAATAGAAGATATATGAAATTCCTGATTACATACATACATATAATCACGCCTCTTTCCCGTGGGACCACTTCTTTCCACTTGCTACGATCCTTACATACTTGTTTCGCTTCGTCCACTTTTATTATTCCCTTCATACATGCTCTACGGTTTAGTGTACTCTTAACCTGGCCTTTTTTCACGACATCCCTGTTTTGGTCTTGTAACGTCCGCCTAGGTCTACCCCTTCCAACACCTTCATTCACACTCGCCTTATACACTTTTTTCGTCAATCGTTCTTCATTCATTTTCTCGACATGGCCTTATTTTTTTATAGGTTAGGGTGACAAACGGGCACACAGTCCACCTGGTGGTAAGTGGTTGCTGTGACCCATAGACATCTACATTTATCCTCAATAAAGAAACAAAATGCAGATGCGTCGTCACCCATGAGGACCAAGATGGAATGCTTCTTTTCCAGTAAAATGGGTCTCCGGTTCCCTACACTCACCATACAAAACACAGCAGTGTCAAGCTGCCATTTTACGATGGTATTCTGCAAGAGTGTGGTCCTTCCCTGGTCGAGCCGACCCATCCATGCTACAACTATACTACTAATATAGCTGCATCATGGCTCTACCACATATAGATGTGTTATATTATATGGTATTTTATTTATTCATATAAAACTTATTCAATAATTAGGCTAATAAAAACAGTTCGCAATTGCCCAAAATATCACATTACATACATACGAAACAAAACACAGTCGAAATTAGAACCTTCCGCTTTGGCTAAAAGCGAAATTGCAGGCATTCACTAGTTGTGGTGTTTATCAGATAAAGTATTCTAGCTCGTCATGCTAGATCGTCTATCTAATCTAATCTAATTTACGTACAAGATCTCTCTCACTCTTATTAAATGTAGTTCTAAACATTAAAGTTGATTGTTTTTGGATTTCGAATTGGAATCAAAACTTTCGAATAAGAAGAGTGAAGGAATTCAAAGAAAATGAGCATATTATGCTAATTTAATATTTTTCGATTTTTGTCTGATCTGAAAAATCTGATCTATGGAATTGAGGGTAAGTCAATAAATATGAAAAACATCAACTATTAAGTTTACAAGGCTGTTCCTACAACATGTAACGGTATAATGTACAAGCATGCTCACTTCATAGTCGTGGTGTTTGCAGTGCTCCTCACCAGAGGTGGGGGTGGCTGCTGGCCCATCGCCATTGTTATTGCACTGTTCGGAAACTGCAACCAACGACAAACAAAAACATAATTCACCATGACACGGCATCTGCTAACATAATCACTCGCTAAATGACACCAAATTAAAAAACACTACGTGGTAGCGTAAATTATACGTTTATATTGTATTCATTATATATAGTTAAATATTACACCAAATAAAGACAATATATAGGCTATAATTTCCTTGAATTGTGTCTTTTGAATTTTCCAGTAACCCACTTTTTCTTGTTGATTCATTATTCATGCATTTTAAATGATAAAGGTAATTGTGAAATAGCCTATTGAATAATTAGAATGGTAAAATACACAGCGATCGTTTAACAGTTGTTGTTTGGATGCCTACAAAATGTAGTACTAAATTAATGAAGGAAATAAGTGGCAAAATTAAAAAAATGTATACAAGCGACTTCAATATAAATAAAATAAGAACGTGAATAGTCAGTTAATTCATGAAACATGTAGTCGAATTGAGTACTTCCTCTTTTTTTGAAGTCGGTCAAAACGTTAAACCAAACCAGCAGACCTAGTACCTATCATGGAATAAGTGAGCCCAACAAAATGTAAATAGAACGTAAATGTTCTTCAATTGAAACAGTTATTCAATAAATTAATCTTCATCAGCTCTTGAAAGTTCACGTCTGGATACAAGTACCTCCTGTTGTAGGGAGGGTTTAACATAATCGCCACGTTTGGTAGGCGGATTGGTGATAAGAGTACCAGCCATCTCGCACCTTTGATGCCGCTCCCCGTAGACGACGGTCAGAGGTTTTAGGTATGGCGTATACGGTATGGTTACATCGCCATCTATCTGAAGACAATTTTTAAGGGTGTTAGAATGTAATTTTACGTAAAAGGATATTTTTTCTGCTTATTGCTGTAATTGCTATGGGCAATAACTAAAAATTATTACTTTTTAAATTATTCAGCTCGTATGAGTGTACGATTTTTGATAAAGACAAGTAGCCACTGTAAGCCACATAGGGATAAAATGTGGTTGCCACATAGAGTTACCTACTGTTTGCTGAGAAAATATATAATAATATGTTAAAAAAAGGCTATGAAAAATATATTTTTGGTTTAAAAACTTTTATTACTTAAACTGGAAATGTATTAGATCTTTTATAGAATACAACGATAGATAAAAACAGCACTAGAAAAAACTTTCGTTTTTGAATTGGATAATATATTTTAAACATAATAAAGTATTGTACCGAGACACTAGAGTTGCCAAACAATATGGTTGACAACTCTAGTGTCAAAAGACATCGTAAGTGAGGGTGAATTGTGCAGTGGGTGACGCTATGTATAGTTGTTAATGGCGCAGTGTTTATGGCATACTACGAAGCTAGTGGCACGCTGATATGGCATAGTGCGTGGGGCGAAGTGTACAGTAGTGCAGTTTGTAGTGACACAGTGTATAGTTGCATAGTTCAGCACAGTGTATAGTGGCGCGCAGGGTATGTCGGTGCTGTGTCACGGTGTGTAATGTCGCGTTGTTTAGAGGTGCAGTGTGTAGTGGTGCAGTGTGTAGTGGCACAATGTATAGTTGCGTAGTGCGTGGTAGCAGTGTGTAAAGTGACACATTGTGTAGCGGTGCGTGTGACGTGCCGAGGTACCGACCTGCACGTTGCGCTGGTGCTGCGAGCGGTGCTGCGGCAGCGCGGCGGCGGCGGCGGCGATGGCCGCGTTGCTGTAGCGCGCCGCGGCCTGCGCCTGCGCTGCCACCTGCGCCTGCGCACACCACCTTACGCTTTTACATTTAGCCCATCATGCTAGCCATACACAACTGACAGGTACACCCTAGCGTGTATTTTACTTACTTACTTTTTACTAATTGGTAGTGTAATGCCCTTGCTATTCAAGGAATACGGGAAGGGTTTATACACTGAATACAGAGTAGCAGTCAAAACCGTTCCTACCTAAACACTCCTTTTCTACCTAAATACCAACACATTTACAGTGATGCGACGGCGGTTGTAATGTAGGAAAATTTATGGAAGATAATTGAGTTACGCATGGTAAACTTTTAATGCAATTGCGTTTTTTTTAACTCAAAACGAAGCGCTATCACCGTTTACGATGCAGGCGCAATCGGGATACAGACGCGCATTGCTATCGCTTTGATAGTGTTAAATTTTTTCAAAACCTTTTGGACTGCCAAGAGACAAAAAGACGTCGAAGACGAAGAAATAAGGCGAACGAGACGATTCGATCGTTTTAATAAGGATTAGTAAAACATCAGCCAAGGTAGAAAAAGTAAAAAGATATGGGGAGAGAGCTTTGTCATAGTGTAATAGCAGTGGGTGAAATAAGTTAGGAAAGGAAACAGGTTATGTGAAGTAGAATCTAATAGCCTTAGACTAAAATAATAAAATAGAAGGAACGATCTAATTAGCACAGTAATATTTTTTAACCCACTGGGGTCAAAAAATATTACTGTACATAACAGCCGTGATCGTTAGCGTAGGAAGATCAAATCGTAAAAAAAATATCTGGGTTGTAGACACAACCATTATTAAAAAATATCGATTACATACATCACAATTTGAATTTGCTTTTTGGAATAGTGACATAAAATGTGGTCGGTATTTCGTTTTAAGTAAAGTTTGATTTTTAATAATATACAAATAAGATGTGCGTTTGACTACAATCAAATATGACGTCATATGAAATGAGTACAATAGTAATTTTTGTTTTGATGGCTCGTAAATTTATTTTATATAATATGAATGTCAACTTCCCTATTGTAGATACTTGTATCAACACCATCTCATCGACCAACTTAAACAAAGAATAGGAACTGAATTTTTGCTATTCATTTAAGGGACGTTATTTATTTGAAAGCAGTCAGTCGGCGTTATTATTTTAGTATAAGGTATGAGCCGTATAACTGTGTATAGGCGATGTAAGAATATCAACTAACTAACCCATATCGTATCGTGGATGTCGTAAGAGGCGACAGACGGAAAATGAAACAGGTGATATGGGCAGCACCATCTTCCTGATAACGACCCAAAATAATAAACCTTTCAAGCGTGGCAACTACGGATAAATTATCTTCTGATCAATGTATGGTAGAGTTCTATGAGCATCGTGCATTGTCGCACCTGAGCGAGCCGCAGCACCTGCTGCGTCTGCGCCTGCGTGAGCTGTCCGGGCAGGCTCCAGCCGTTGGCGAGCGCCTGCACGGCGGCGGCCGAGATGCCGGCGTGCGGCAGCTGCAGCGCGGCCGCCGCGGCCGAGTGGCGCGTGGCGGCCGGCCGGCGCCCGCGCGCGCCGCCGCCCACCACCACGCCCGCCGCCGCGCCCACGCCCGCGCCCGCCGCCAGCGCGCCCGCGCCGCCGCCCGCCCCCGCGCCCGCGCCCGGCGGCGGCGCGGGCGGCGCGCGCGTCCACTGCCCCGCACCCGACGCTGACCCTGCAATAACAACCACACGCTCTAGACCATACACAATAATTGGTTAAACACACGAAATATTCAAATTTCTCACACACGCAGGTTTTTAAACCTATTTTGCTCCAGAAAAGGACATTGTAACAATTGTAAACATATTTCATTGAAGTCGGCAAAAAAATATTGACACTACTTAAACTGAATAAGTAGATATTATACATATCACGCTGTATTCGCTCGGCATTCACATCACAGAATTATCATCAGGAAAATGATATTAGAAAGTTTGTAAAAAGAAAATGTACTTTCGTAAAATATTTTTATCTGATATTTATAAGCAATAGTATTCAGGTTTTAGCTAGACAAGTCTCAAAAAGAAAAACGTGTGTACAGCTCACACGCGGTAACGCGGTAGAAGTGAAACCTTCAAATGAAATTAAATATAAAGTAAAAAGGCATATTTCACGGCAAATGATTTATTTTTTAACACAAGTGCGGCAGAAAATATAAGATAAATGTTTAATTTTATAGCAAATAAATGTTACTTTACTAAATTTTAGTGTAATACGTCAAAAATATTTTCTTTCGAGTAAAATTGCTTTGTAATAGCGCCATCTACCTCATTCTGTAGGTAAAGTCAATTTTATTGAACAAATATTAATTAACTCTCAAAATAAAAGATAGATGGCCTAAACACGATTAATTTAATATAATATTCGATCTTAATCTCTCGCAGGCTCCTATAGATGTGTACGTTTGTCTCTTTTTAATGTCGTTTTTTTGTTTCATCTAATTTCAAATCACAACGATTCTAAAGAAGTTTTCACTTCAAAATAGCACCATAAAATCCAAATTTCTTTTTCCAGCGACACTATTTTCAGAATTTGAAGTTGTAGGTAGGTAGCAGTGTAAGCGATCTAACACCCACCCCGTTTCAATACGTGTACGAAATAAATATGAAAAATGTAGATTCAAGAACTTCGATGGTTTGGGCATGTAGAAAAACTGAGTTAGGAAAGAGCGAAAAAGCAAATTTATGATGCAGAAGTAAGTGGCAAAGTTGAGACGCCTCGTTCCTAGACAGAAGTTTATCGACCAAATTGGTGATGTATTGAAAATAAGCCAAATAAAAGCCGGCCGGCAGGCCGAAGAACATGTATGCGTAGGTATATAAATGTGAAAATACCGAAAAGGTGTCAGAGGCGTGTGCCAGGATCATTTCAAATCCCTACTATCATTCTGGATAACAGGCGTGAGATTTATTGTAACGTTACGTAGATAAAGCCATAATATATTAATTAGCCGGTACAACACCGGCGCGATATAGATTCACTCGGAAACAATACCGTCAAGTACCGCTCTCTCTCTCTCTCTCTCTAACTTATTTCTACCGCCAAATAGCGGTGCTTGCGCTCCTGTGTTAGAGCCAGAATAATTACAGGCTGGAGTCAAAAAATCCTGTAATTATTCCATCTTTCACCTGCAGCTTTTTTTGCTTGAACTTGGCTGCAGGTGCTCATGGACTGTAACCACTTATGATAACGTACACTGCAAGTTCTTTTGTCACGACTTCAGTTTTATATTTTTTTAAATACCTACACAGTCTTCAGTATAATTTGCAGTATCGCGTATCTTCGCGAGATAACGCCGACGCTTTCATCTAGTGATATACATCATACTTCAGCGTGTTATAAAAAGAAAGCGCTACTTATGACATCCATATATTTATACCACAGAATATTAAATTTAATATTCCTTGCATTAGACTAATATTAAACCGGTCGACTATTTATTTGCTGCGCCGTTTTCATGCTCTTTCCGTCACATAATTTCTTTAATTTTCTGCCGTTTTATATTTTATTTATTTATTTATAATGCTATAAAAATGTATATTCTTTCTAATGTCTCAAACCAATACCGCTCGGTTATCTTTGTCCATGTGTAATGTATGCAAAACGCCTTTACGGTATAGGAGAAATTCATACTAAAAGTAACTTTATTTTAAAAAAAAATATCTGTCTAAACCCTATCTTATTGCAATAATTTCGCGGGACAAAGGTGTTTGCAGAGACGCAAAAAATCAAAATGCTTAGGTACCGAGAACATTGATGCCGTATCAATGTCGTACACCTAGTAAAGACATAGGAGATGTATATATTTTTTCGTTAACATAACATGTTTAAGATTTATAAAAAATAAAATGATTAGTAAAGGACCCGTAAGTAAAGTAGTAGAGGTATTTTTTCATTAATTATAATATGTTTAAGATTTTTATAAATTGTATATTTTATTCATTGATTATAATTAGGATTTTTTATTAAATATACCCGTTTATGCGGAAAAAGCCAACTGGAAACTGGTTACACACCGGCGACCAGGAGAAAATTCAATGCAAAACATCTGATATTACAGTAGCTACGCTATTCGCTAGCCAAAAGTGACCTACTTCAATTCTTTCCTAACGTGTCGCTGGCTAGAGCCGTGGTAGCTCAGGGGTTTAGCGCTCGCTGTAAATTAGCGACCAACAGTACGCGACCAACCCGGGTTCGATTTCAGCCGGCACTAAAGAAATTGTCAATTGCAATTTTAAGTGCTAATTTACCACGTGCTTGGCGGTGAAGGAAAACTGTAAGGAAACCAGCATGTGTCTGATAAATTTAAAAAAAACTGGTAGTAAATTGGTAATACTAATTTTACCGTCTAGAAACGGTGTAAGAATATCCAGTATCTCAATATCATCCCGTAGGTGTCGTAAGAGGCGACAGAGGGAAACAAATCGGGAGATGGGCAGCAGCGTCTTCCTAAAAACGACTTAAAATAAAAACTGCGGTTGCCAACCCGCTTGCCAAGCGTGGAAATCATGGCAAATATTTCCTATGTGGCAATCTATGAAGGAGGCCTATGTTCAGTAGTAGACTTTAAAGGCTGCAGCGGTAACGGAAAACATTTTATCGTTGTTGAATGTCTTCCACTCAACTAACCTTCAATGTTACTACATAAGCAAGAATGTAACGGTTCACTCTTGTCTTCCTATATTCATTTATATACAGATTAATCCATACCCCGCGTATCTCATGGGTGTCGTAAAATTCCACAGTAATAAATATACTAGGGGCGGAGAATAGCACCCCTATGAGTTTACGTCACTATTTCCCATTTGGAATCCTACGAGATATCGAGGTGGAACAAAAAGTTGGTTCCACCGTCACTTTTTATAGAAAACTAGCTTTTTGTCTTCGGCTCCGCTTGCGTATTATTCTGTCATGAGGTGTGGACAACCGTAGGGCTCGTTGTCAAAGACTGTGTGACTTAAATGTATGATATGTCTTATTTCGTTCATTCATTGCAGCTTATCAAAGTCCACTACTGAACACAGATTGCTTTATAAGGCGGAGGGAGGATATTTCGCCACAGTTACCTCGCTTGTCAGGCGAGTTGGCATTATGGTACACGTGTTATGTCATAGATACTATTTACTTTATATTATAAGTCCTGTACACTTTATATTGTTTATTTAATAAATTACTTTCTTAGAAGCCAAACTAATCTTATGTCATAGGATACTATTTACTTTATATTATAAGACCTGTATAGTTTATATTGTTTATTTACTTAAAAGCTAAATTACTTTCTTAGAAGCCAAACTAATCTTATGTCATAGGATACTATTTACTTTATATTATAAGACCTGTATAGTTTATATTGTTTATTTACTTAAAAGCTAAGTTACTTTCTTAGAAGCCAAACTAATCTTATGTCATAGGATACTATTTACTTTATATTATAAGACCTGTATAGTTTATATTGTTTATTTACTTAAAAGCTAAATTACTTTCTTAGAAGCCAAACGAATGTTATGTCATAGAATACTATTTACTTTATGTAACAAGACCTGTATACTTTATAAATCATATTGTTTACTTTCTTAGAAGCCACACTAATTCGTTTGTAATATTATATGCTAATATTTATAGTTTACCATAAGTTAACCATAACACCAAGAACAATGTTGTTCCCTTATGTTTACCCCCACCTCCTAGCTTCCTTACACCTTTCGATCCCTCAACATGATTCCATTACCAAGTTTTCTGTATCACCTACTATATTTTATGTTAGTTTGAAAGTATTAAATAAATTTATTTTTAAAGGAGTTTTTGTCTCTGCCACATAACACACGTTTCTTTTGTCCTTTCAATATTTTAATTATTTTCGACCTACATACGAATAGTTGGGGGTCATAATCGTTTTGAAGATGTACGCATAGTTATTGAGTAATTTTATGTTTCCATTTGGAACGTTCAAGTATATTTTTGATCGGTTTGAATTGTATTACGCAAAACTAAACCATTTTGCGTAATTCATAAAGCATTGTTCTTAATATAGGTCAGCGGTGCATGTTTACTGTTACATTCTTCACAGCCTTCCTTTCAGCCAGCCAGCACTCTTTCATAAATGTTTTTTTTTCTTTTCTTACATAGCCTATTCAACCACTACTTTATCCAAATTAAAAATTTTAACAATTATAAATATCTTTAGAAATTACGAAAAGAAATGTATATTGTAAATAACGTTTTTAAAAAACCCAAACACAAAGTAACCCCAAATATTTCTTGTTCAAAGCTGTCATGTGCGGCAAACACGAATTCGTCCCATTGGTGTTGTAAAAGTTGACTAATGGAAAGGGGCCAATAAATCACGTTCACGTTTATACCATCTAGGACTCTATCACCGCTTAACATAAGGCAGGGTCTTGGTCAAACGTGGGGCTAATAATGATTAAAAAAACTGCTAAGCCGGTGATGTAAAGCAGAGTTGAAGGCTGGGATTCATAGATAAGCTCAAACTTCACAATGTCAAAATTTGTGTAACATAGTAGGTTTGAGCTCAAATTCGTAATTGTCTCTGAATTCTGACCCAAGGTTCGGTAACTTTCAGTGATAATTTTTAATAGTTTTTAGTAAACCTATACGATTTGTCTTATACGACAAATATTCTTAATTAGCGCAGTCTTCACCGTTAGATTT